GCTGAGATTCCCTCCCGGGTTTCAACCTCGGCACTGGGTGTGGGCCCGCGGCCGCGTCTCCCCGATTCAGCCCCGATCCGCCCGCGTCTCCGCCCCTCCTCCCGGTCTCGGTGCTTCTTCAGGTCCCTGGTTGTGGGGCTTCTGTTCAGCCGGATCTCAGGAGGCTCTGAGTGACGGTGATTCTGGATTTAGTTGTAATTCTGATGTGGCTGCGGGAGGCGGCGGGTGCAGCTGTTACCTACGCCGCCTTCTTGTTTCTCCAAGAATTCACTTTTTACAAGTGGATTTTTGGGAGTCAATATTCATAGAGCCAAAGAACATCAGAACAAAGGTCAAGCTAAACTAATGGCTAAAGAGTAATTTATAAAATCACTGAGCGTATGTGTGAGAAAAGAATATCAAGTATTTTATGTAAATAAATTCTTTGTAATTTGGCTTGAAAAAATAAATTTTCTCATTATACAAAGAATGCGTCTTAGAAAACCCAGAAAATCCAGCAAACAAAAAGGGGCACGATTCCCACCAGAGTCCTATAACACACCTCGAACAACCAGGTCTCACGTGGAACAACCAGAACATCCCACAAATGGGCTGTCCTGTCATATCTGCAGGATGTGTGTATATTACATTAAATAGCAGAGCATTTTCCCCAGTCGATGGGCACGTTCCTGGGACACCATGGGTGGGACCTCAAGCCCTCGTGATCCAGCCTCAGGAGGCCATTCAGGACCAGGGCCCTTCCTAGATGTGAGGCCGTCCAGGTCTTCGTGTCTGGGGGGCCCCACTGAGCCCACCTATTCCTCAGGCCCCTGTGGGAATAAATCCCTGCTGTGGTCCCACTGAACCCAGCTCCTCTAACCACCAGCCTGGCTGGGTCTTAACTTTGTACCTGCCTTTGTATCTAGTTTCCCTCGTTTCAACAGAGTAGAAACCCAAGTCTCTCTGACATGCTCAGGGCTCCAGAGGCTCAGAAAATGCTCCATTTGAATCAGAAGAGTTGGCTCCTCCAGGCCCCACCCAGCATGGCTCTTGATGCTCCCCCAGCTCGGGTTGCCAGCCCCATCGAGAGCTGTTGAAAGAAAGAAGCCAGATCCCATGATCAGAAAGGCCAAAAGGGCCTTGGCCTTCCGAAGCACTGAGGGAACTGGGGAGGGAGAATCGGAGTCCTATGGACCCAGTAGATGTCACCTGCTGATGAGGACAGGGTCTCAGCATTCAGGTTCAGGGCCACAGGGTGGACACCTTGGTCTATGCATTCATTTCTGTTTCCACCTACAGTTTATTCTCTCTCTCCCCTGCCCCTTTCCTCCCCCTCTTCTCTTGCTGTCTCTCCCGCTGCTGCTGCAGGACAGGATGGAAAACAAAGCCATGTACCTGAACACCGTGAGCGAACGAGACACCAGCTCCATCTTCGAGGAGCCCTTTGATGGCAGGAGCCTGTCCAAGCTGAACCTATGCGAGGATGGTAAGTGCCTCTGGCTGGGTCTTGGGGTGAGAGATCTGCCCTGAGCCCCACACCCAACCTTGGCATTGCCCCAGGGTGCTGGTGACCTCTCTCCTAATATTGCACATGTTGAACTTCATGCTTTGAAAGGTTTTTCCATCTGTCTTCTCATTCATGCAGCTCAATAAATCTTTGTGATCAGCAAGATGAATACCCATTTTACAGAAGAACTAGTGGAGGCTGTGAAAAGCATTAGGGATAATTCAGCTCATCAGTCATAGAGATCTCCTGACTCCTTTTGCCTCTCTCCTCTGAGTGAGTGAGGCTGGGGTCAAACAAAGACACCTGAAACAATTAGCCTGGACCCTCTCAGGTGAGGAGCCAACAATCCATTTCCAGAACCCTGCTTCTGTGTATCCAGCACAGAGCTCAACACTTAGTAGGTGCTTTTAATAAATGATTGCTGCATGAATGCACACACTTCTCTTTGCATTGAGTGTAAGAGTGGAGAGCATCGTCCCTACTTCAAAGGTGAACAGAATGAAGCTCACAGAAGGGTCTGGTAAAGACTTATGATCAGCGAGATAGAGATAGTCTGTATTAGTCAGGGTTCTCCAGACAAACAGAACTGGTTTGATATATATGTACATATAGTATAAAGAAATATACATGCAGAATTGACTCATGTGATTATGGAGGCTAAGTCCCATGATCTGCAGTCTGCAGGCTGGAGACTCAGGAGAGCTGGGATGTAATTCAGTTCAAGTCAGAAGGCCTGACAACCCGAGGAGTCAATGGTGCAAATAGCAGTTTGAGGGCTAGAGAAGATGAGATGAGATGTCCCAACTCAAGCAGTCGGGAACAAAAACAAAAAGCAAATACCCCCACCTTTTGTTCTATTCGGGCCCTCAACTGATTGGATGAGGCCCAACCACATGGGGAGAGCAATCTGCTTTACTGAGTTCACCAGTTCAAAAGCTAATCTCATTCAGAAACACCCTCCAAGACATACCCGGAAATGTGTTTAACCTGGACACTGTCGTGGCACAATCAGGTTAATATATAAAGTTAACCATCACGCAGGCCTTTTTCCAAGCACAGGTTCTGTTGTGCTCCACTCTGCTGGCTCCCTCTGTTGTGAAATTACTCAAAATGAGACATGACTGTCCCTCCTGCTCCAACGCTGCTTTTCTCCACAAGATGCTAAGTGTAGGAAGGAAAGCTGGGTGGCTTAGAAAGGCAGGGATTGAGGACAGTCTCAGCAGGGAGAGGATAAAGGTAAATTTGGGCTTGTGACCAATACACCTCCTCATGCTGCCCTAGTAAACTGCCCAACATTACATCTCTTCCTCTGGATCCCAGTTAACAAACATGTTTTGAGAACCTATAATGTGTCAGGTTATTGGTTAGGTGCCAGGGATATTCCAAAGAGAAATCAAACCATTCTTGCCCTCAAAAGGCTTATGATCCCAGTAGAAGGGACTGGCATGGGGACCCACTATATAAAGTAGGCAAAATATGTGTGATTATTGAAGTCAAGCAGGGAGGCACCTTTCTGGAAAAGGCCTTAAAAACTGAATACAATTTTGTAAGAGAAGAGGTGGGCAGATAAAGGTATGACCAGCTGAGCTGCCCTAAGCCAGGCCACTGTTTCTGTCAAGTTAATGCCACCTGGGAAGAGGGGAAGGACTCCGGGGCACTTGGTCACTGGCCAGGGCTTAGCACATCCCACCAGCACATCAGCAAAGGCCACGCTGGCTATTGTATCCTTGCTCCAGCCCTCTTCCCACCAGCCCATCAGTGGGGAGGCCTGGTTTAGCAAGAGAGAACTGGGATCCAGCACAGTGGGGGTGACTAAAGGGCCACCAGGTCCAGCTTGGATGCCAGTATGGGAAGGGCAGGGTGAGGGGCCTCCAGGGTGAGAAGCCGGGGTGGGAGGAGCCACTGGGCCATCACATCCTTTTCCTCTTACCTTATCTTACTCTCCCTTTTTCTGAACCCCTAATTTTTAAAAAAAAGATTATTGAGACCAGAAGGTAACAGTAACCCCAGCCACTGTGCTTTCTAGGTCCCCCAGCCATGGGGAGATCTGATCAGTGCAAGTATCCTTGGGCCTCACCTGAGGCCTAGCACCCCTTAAAATATGGACAGTAGAGGTTGGAAGGTGTGGGATCAAGGTTGACTCACCCCTCCCAGAGCTTGTGGCCTGACCAGGGTGCATCTCATCTCTGGGCCTCAGTGTTTCTATCTGCCAAATGGGGGCAGAGGGGGTGTCTCTGAAGTCCTGTTCAGTTCTAAAGTTTTGTATATAGTAACAGATTTGGTCATTGCATTCAGGGTGTGGTCCTTTTAAAACCTATGCAAGGATGTTCCAAAGAGAAACCAAACCATCCTTGCCTTCAAAGGGCATGACGCTACCCTAAGCAAAGCCAGGCAAAGGCTTCCACTTCAATGGGAGCAAAAAACCCAGGCACTGACCTGGCTGAGGAAGCTGGTTTTCATGTTGAACCTATTGGCATGCTCCCTGGGGGCTCTGCTCCCCAGAAGATTTCTCTTCCTACTGGCTCAACTCCCTCCCTCACCTCCTTTCAGTCTTTGCTCAAATTTCACCTTCCCCAGTAGGCCTTCCTGCCTCCCCTGCACTCCTGACCCCCTTTTCCCAGCTTCTCTTTTTGCTTTTTCCCATAGTTCTATATCTTTCTAAAATTACATATATAATTTTCTTATTATGTTTATTATTCACTGTCTGTTTCTCATGGGAGGAACAGACAGGGAAAGGGCAGCATCTCTCTTGTTCACTGATGTCTCCCAGCCTGACAGGTAGTAAGTGCTCACTAAGTATTTGTTGAATGAATAAATGAATGAATGAACACAGGGGTCCTTGAAATCGAGAAATGGCAAAACAAATGTATTCTAAACCTGGTTTCAGAATCATCTGCATCTCCCCCATTCTTCATTCTTGGATGCCAGGTGTGAGATTGGGGGGTGGGGGCACAAGGAACACAAAAAGACTAGAATGTTGAGGTGCAGCCAGCTATCTAAAAGCTTGTGGGTTTCTGGTTTGATTTTTTTCCTTCCCTTTCATTTTGAAGAGGAAAATTATGAGCTCTGACTTGGGGAGATTCTAGCCAGATTCGATATGTTTCCCCAGAATTTTGCTTTTCCTTGATCCTCAGCTCTGCAGAGTATAACAGGAGAGGAAAGGAAGGGTGGGGCTGGCAGGAAGCGGAGGTGTAAGTTGATAGGAAAGAAGACAGAGGGCAGAGGTGGGGAGGGAGGGAGACCCAAGCCATTAGTGGACCTTGAGTAAATTAAAACAGTACCGTCTGGTATGCCTCACAGGGGCTCCAAGTCCTTTCCAGGTTTTTTCTTTTGAAGGTAGGGAGATGGGGAGGAGAGGTGGTGCCTTCTCTTGACCCTGGGGATACTGGGATCTGGCCAAGCAAAGTTGCAAAAACGCAGCCCAGATATTGGGGTGTGACTTGGACTTTAATGCAGGTGGGCCTTTAAAGAGGTCAGGGTGTAAACATGTTATTTCACAGGCCATGTGCTGACGACTTCCCCACCCCTCTCTTCTGCTCTCCTTTCTTTTCTTGCCTTTTCTCCTCCCGCCCTGCCTTTATCCCTCCCCTTCTTTCCAATTACCAGGTGAGAAGGGAAGGGGAGGACTGTTAACTGCCTTGGTTCCTCTGTCCCCTTCATGAGAAACTGCCTTGCACCACTCCCACACCCCACTCTGTGACATCACCTTTCCTTTGCCTGTACCCCTTGGATGGGGCACCTCTCAGGACCACCCCCTTCCTTGTGTCTCAGCTTTCAGAATCCTGATTGGAGCCCCAGCCGATGGGAAGGGCAGGGACCTCCTCACCTCCATGACTACACCTGGCAATAGCATTGGTTCCACCTACTTTGCTGGACTAACATGGAAGGAGTAACTGCAGAATCCGACCTCCAAGGTCCTTTAGCCAAGCCTCCTCTGACCTTGGTGCCCACTTACACCTCTCTTGGAACAGAAACCCAAACAAGGGCCAGCTGGGCCTGCTCACCCTCTCCCCCTTCCTCTCTCCTCTCCCCCTTCCTCCCTGTCCTCTCTCACCTTCCCCGGTCCCTTCTTTTCTCGCCTGTACAGCTGTTGGCCTCTCCAGTCTGGCGCCAGGAGGCAGAGGAGGCGGAGGCCTGGGCGGGGGTTGTGTTTGGCTGGGTCTGGCCCTTTCTGAGGGTCAGAGGGAGGTGTTAGTGTCAGAAAAATATTGCAGTCAGCTCACCCTGCAGCCTCAGACCCTCCACCACACTATAGCATCATCCACCGGCCACAAATGGAGGTTCTCGGAGGTAATGAGTTACACATGTTCCTAGCTGGCCTGGATGCCTGCTTGCTGAGTTTAGGGCCCAAGCTCCCCATTCCGGTGTTCCTTCCCCATAAAATTAAATTATTCTCCTAGGGGAACCCCCTCATCTACTTTCTCATCAATCAAATCTTCCCAGTTCATCTGGTGGAGCTGAGGGCTGCTGGGAAACTGCCCAAGGGCAGGAGTGGATTTCCTGGGAGGGTCTCCTGGGGCCTCGTGGAAGGTCACCGCCCTCTACAGGTTGGAGAACTGGGCTCTGAAGCAGGAGAGGAGCAGAGATATTAACTCATGCAGCACCAAGGTGCTCCCAGGTTCTGTCCCTGCTAAACCAGAGCAGAGAGCAAAGTGCTGCTGGATGAATGTGTGGCCACTGGGGGTGGGTCCTGGGTCTCTCTTGCCCACAGGACGGTCCTACCACAGGATGGGGAACAGCTGGGGAGGTGACAGCAGCCTGGACTTTGAAGTTTGACAGGTCTGGGCCGAATCCATAGACCATACTGGCTGTGTGGCCTTGGACTCAGGGCAGGGTCTCCTCTGCTTGCCCCTCCGTTCCTACTCACCACCACCCACCTCGCTCGCTGCCTTGCCAGGGTTGGCAGTTGGGGAGCTGCCTTGAAGGGAGAAGAGAGGATGGAAGAAGGGGAGTTGAGGCATTCATTCGCCCAGCTCCTG